AGCCTCCACTGAAAAAAGGAATGATCCATGGAAGGTATTAATAGTATACTTTAATCATGTGAAAAGGTAAAGACTTTCTGGAATAATTGCCACCTATTAACTTGAAAGGGATTTTGCAGGAGAAATCTGCATTGACTGCATGTACCCTGACTGGGGAGTGGCCCCATGTCCTCCATCTGACTACGGATACCTCTTTTTGATCTGGAAAATTTGGTCCTTGTAATGATAGAAAAGTTTTGTTTGTATGCGGTTACTTCTCTGAAATTATCTATGATAGTGTAATTCAGTCTGTGAACAGAAAAGATCAGAAATTGGATGGTCTGATTTGGGAAGTAAAGAAAGCCCATTTGTGAAGTGTTCAAATAACGGACTGGACTGCCCCTTGGGAGAGGCTTCATGGAAAGGACCCAAGCATCCAGTGACCGAGTCAGTCACGTGTTCAACAGTTATCAAGCATTTCCTGTGTGTCAAGTACTGGACTAGGCATCAAAGAATTCAAAGCCCAGGGAGTCTCCTCACTGCTTTCAGGGGACTTCAGGCTAGTAGAGGGAGGAAACTCAGTTTAAGTGTTAGAGATGCTATGATAGAAATCTATAGGTTATGAAGTTGGGAATAGTTGAACTAGATTCAAACCTGAATTGTCTTCCAATATTGCATGAAGAGGCTTGAAAACGGACCGTGAAATCCTGTAGTCATGTATGTGATGTGTAATCACAGACCAGCCAAAGATATTTTTATTTCAGTCTGTCTTTTCTGTGACTTCTAATCTTTGGGTGTAGTTGCGGCTTGCCTATGATTTTCAGCACCCCCACAAAATTCTTAAGAGTTTCCAATCCCACTAAATACACTGTAACTATTAATGAGGAGTGCTGTCTCTGAGGAGTGGGATAACAGGGAAGGGAAAAAGCAACTTCTACTTTTTGTTTACTTAGGTCTTGAGGCTTCAGGTTTTCGGTTTTCCCCACCCATGTAGCAGACTGCTGCCTGCCCCACTCCTCCTCCCGCCAGCCCCCCTGTCCATAAGCCAAGTCACACTACAGCACCGTCTTCAACAATAGTAACCAACACAAATGTGGTCAGAGGAAGCAGTAGGGGTAAAGAGTGAGAGAGTGGGACATTGTGTTAGCATGTAGGATTATTACTCACATGTTATCATTACTGTGCACTCTTTCTAGAAATAAAAATTTGACATATTAAAAACATGGTTCAGTAATAGTGTTTTGGTTTTATTCATAATTTTCCACACTTGTATAAAGTATCACATAAAAATGCTTTAAACAAAAGAAGTCTTTGGGGAATTTGAATGGCCCAAAGAAATGTGAATGTTTAAAATTTAAGTTTTTTAATAGACCAGGAATGTGTTCATATAACTCCGCTACTCTTGGCAATAGTAGAAACCAATAAATTATTCTACTACCTATATCTCATAAAGTATTTGTCAAAAAAACAAAATGAGATCTAGATATTTCATATATCACATACCTTTTATTTGGAAGAGAGGCTATTTGGTAGGAATGTTGGATTTCCCAAAGTTTTTATTATCTTAATACAATCCTTGAATTAGGTGAAAGTTAAAGGGTAATTATTTATAAGTTAAATGTAAATAATAGTTTGCAGTTTATTGTCTCTTGCTATCTGACCAGTTGTAAACATGGGATAACTATAAATAATGAGGCTGCTTTATCTGAACTAAACAGTAATGAGACTGATGTTAGTCAAACTGAGTAGTAGGCATTAGTAAAACTAACATTAAAGAAATGGAAAATACTGAGGTCATTTTCTAGTTCTGTAAAAAGGTGTTACCTTACACCGTTAGCAGAAGAAAGGACATGAGTGAATTCATGCCTTAATGAGATGTTTGTAAATTATAGAAATTAAGGATATAAAAGATGCATATGGCTTACTGGCGGATCATTGATTTAGTCTGTTTGTAAAGTGTCCCAAATATGGAATTTGCTTTTGTGTCTTACAGTGTAAGCTTAAGGAAGTTATTTTCAGCTATACTTAGAATTAGTCTTCCTTTTTCTACATCTGGCTATTGATCTTTGGTTTTTCTCCTTTTGTCTCATCAGATAATATTTTTGCAGACTCTTTTCCAAACTTCATTTGAGTATAGTGCATGCCAGTAGGCTGTGTTATGCCATGCATGATTTTCAAAATCCTGAAGTCCTATCCCTGACTTTTTTGGACCAGGTTTTTTTCTCATTTGTGACATTTGTGTAAATAATAGCACCCAACTAAAATAGATATGAAATGGAATTCGTAAAAATGGTTTTAGGAATATTTTAGAAATTTAAAGTGCTAAAGAAATATTAATATGAGAGTATTTTATGCAGTTTATCGTAAGTGCTCAGAATCTTTTTCAAGAAAATAGATTCTCCCGTCTGGTGGTTCCTATATCTTTTCTGTGTACAAGATTGTCACCCCTTTTTTCATAACACACACACACACACACATCCATTTATATCCTGAATCTAAGATGAGTTAAGCTCAGAAATGCATGGATTCCCTAGCTCTAGTCTCAAAAGAGCAGTGGACTGTTATTTTTGTAAACACTGCTGAATTTAATTTGGCTGATGTTTTTGGAGTTATATATAATAATGAAGTGACTATTGGTTTATTTTCAGTGTAGGTAGGATCATCTCCCTTGTTATTTGGCATTTTTATAACTTCTTACCTGATTTTCTTATCACCATCACTCTTGGGTCTTAAAAATCACATTTTGAATAGTAAGTAACTATACATTTTAGGTTTCTATATGATTTTTGAAATACACTAGAAAATTGCCATCTGCCTGAATATATTTTAGAATAACGAAAGAGATACAAGTGTGAGGTGACTTCCTGAAGGGCAGGCAGCAGCACTAGAACTTACTCCCTTTTCCCGAAGGTCATTATAGGTCTGGGCTAATTGTAAGAATTCACATCTGAACCCAAACAGCCTGTCTTCATTCAGTTAACCTGACAGATCCTCAGGATACTGGTTCTGTTCAGGAGCTATTTCAGGACATTAGTTAGGTGTTTTCTCCTGGGCTGGGCTCAGGACAAGCTTTACATGTTCTTAAACCTAATTGTATTCCTGACACACAGAGAAACAGATCCAGACCATTTCTCTGACTCTGGAACAACATCGATTTCTTGATGTCTTTGGACTAAGGTGGGGTCTAAGCATAATCTCCCACGACAGTTCCAAGTTCATTTTGCTTTGAATTCAGACCAATTTCCATAGTTTCCTAGAACTAAATTGGCTTCATTAAGTAATTTGACTTATTTCATTTCTCAGAAAGGCTTTTTTTCCATACCAGTTTATGTGGTTGACATTTGCTGCCTCCTTACATGTCACTTTTGTTTTCTTACATGTTACTTTTAACAAATGTGGAAATGTAGAAACTTTAGGAGTCTTAATATAGGACCTTCTTATTAGACATTGAATCTCATTCACATAGAATTGAAATGACCTCAGTGGAGGGATGGTAGAATTTAATTTCTCATAGGCTTAACCTTAAAAAATTAAAGAAGATAATGAAACATTAGGGAACATCTTTGTATGTCTTTGTTTATAGGAAGATAAAATATTCCTAACATTGTTTGATTGATAAGAGTTATGGGGGAAACAAGATGGATGTAAATCTGGAGTTTTTATTTTATTTTTTTATTTTTTTAAGATTCCATTTACTTATTTGACAGAGAAAGAGACAGCGAGAGAGGGAACACAAGCAGGGGGAGTGGGAGAGGCAGAAGCAGGCTTCCCGCGGAGCAGGGAGCCTGATGCGGGGCTCGATCCCAGGACCCTGGAACCATGACCTGAGCCGAAGGCAGACGCTTAACTGACTGAGCCACCCAGGCACCCCTAAATCTGGAGTTTTTAAATGTACAATAATTTGCCAGTAATTGTTTCCTATAATCCTGTATCTGGAATCTGGCAGAGAATAGCTGGCGCACTCAAGGGGACTTGGAGAGAATTTACTGAAAAGAGCTTTTTACAAATGTGTGGGAAGAGGGGCGCCTGGGTGGCTCAGTCGTTAAGCGACTGCCTTCGGCTCAGGTCATGATCCGGGAGTCCTGGGATCAAGCCCCGCATCGGGCTCCTTGCTGGGTGGGGAGCCTTCTTCTCTCTCTCCCACTCCCCCTGCTGGTGTTCCCTCTCTCTGTGTGTCTCTCTCTGTCAAATAAACAAATAAAATCTTAAAAAAAAAAAATGTGTGGGAAGAGTTAAGAGAGCTAACAGGATCATCAGTGGAGGGAGCCATTTCTGTCTTGAGTCCTGTAAGAGGAGGAAGAAGGAGCAAAAGCTGGGAGAAGGGCCATGCCATAGCAGCTCTGGCCAGAAGTGGTAGAATGTAGCCACCACCAAAGCTGCCGTCCCTTGGGCAGGAAGCAGAGAAAATTAATATCCAGACCTTGGGGTACCTGGGTGGTGCAGTCGGTTGAGCATCTGACTCTAGATTTTGGCTCAGGTCATGATCTCAGGGTCCTGGGATTGAGCCCCCATGTCGGGCTCCCCACTCAGCACAGAGTCTGCTTGTCCTTCTCCCTCTGCTCCTCCTCTCTCTCTCTCTCATAAATAAATAAATAAATCTTTTAAAAAATATTAATAATACCCAGACCTTTCTCTCCTCCAGCTCTGATGCTCTGTTGATGCCCATTGAGCAAACCCAGCCAGAAATCAGAAGGCAAGGGAGCCTGGGTTGTGCAGTCTGTAGAAGTCAGTGTTGCAGAGCACAGAGCAGGCTAAAGAAAAGGCAGGGATGAGCCTAGAGGGAGACTGCTTTGTACAGCTCCTGAGTAGGAGAGCTTGAGCGTCATGTACTTTGATTTGGAGTTGCTCATTTTACGTAGGAGTTGGGCAGACCTGGTCAACATCTGTGTTCCTCTTTTAAATTAGAATTTGAAGTGTGAAAATTTCAAGTGATGCATCTTCATTATATTCCACACTATTGCCTAATATTTTTTCTCCTGTCTCTTCAGATTACAATTCCTAGACCCTCTGTGGCATCTACACAGTCTACTTCAGGAAGCTTTCACTATGGTCAACAGCCAGAGAAGAAAGACCTTCAGCCTGTGGAACCCACCGTGGAACTTTATTCTCCAAGGGAGAACTTCTCTGGCCTAGTTGTAACAGAGGGCGAACCTCCTAGTGGAGGAAGCAGAACAGACTTGGGGCTTCAGATAGATCATATTGGTCATGACTTGTTACCCAATATTAGAGAGTGTAACAAATCTCAAAACCTGGGACCAAAAGACCTTCCTGACCATAACAGACTGGCTGTGAGAGAATTTGAGAGTCTCCCGAGGGAAACCAAAGAGAAAAGCAATCTTCTAGGGTCAGATAATGAAGATGAGAAGTTAAGTAAAGGGCAGCATTATATTGAGATCGCCTCCCTTCCAGGAGACTTGGTAACTGTGGAAAGGGATCACTCAGCTACTACTGAACTTCTTGATGTGACAAAGACACAGACTTTTAGTGTAGTGCCAAATCAAGACAAAAATCATGAGATAATGAAGCTTCTGGCAGTTGGAACTTCAGAGATTTCTTCACGAGTCATTGACCCACATGTTGAAGGACAGATAGGTCAGGTGGCAGCAATGCAAAAAAGTAAGATATCTAAGGATGATGACATCAGGAGTGAAGACTTGCCAGGTCAGCAGGGGGACCTGTCTACTTTTTTGCACCAAGAGGGTAAGAGAGAGAAAGTGGCTCCTAGGAATGGAGAATTATTTCATTGTGTTTCAGAGGGTGAACATTGTCCCCCATTCCGGAAGGACGTGATTAGGTCATCCTTTGTAACTAGACACAGCCGAATCCCTGTTTTAGCACAAGAGATAGACTCAACTTTTGAATCTTCCTCTCCAGTCTCTGCAAAAGAAAAGCTCCTCCAAAAGAAAGCTTATCAGCCAGACCTCATCAGGCTTCTGGTGGAAAAAAGGCAACTCAGGTCTTTCCTTGGGGACCTCTCAAGTGCCTCTGATAAATTGCTGGAGGAGAGACTAGCCACTGTTCCTGCTCCCTTCTCTGAGGAGGAAGTCTTTGCTCCCTTTTCGAGACTGACTGTAGACTCGCACCTGAGCAGATCAGCCGAGGACAGCTTTCTGTCACCCATCATTTCCCAGTCCAGAAAGAGCAAAATCCCAAGGCCAGTTTCATGGGTCAACACAGACCAAGTCAGTAGCGCAACTTCAGCTCAGTTCTTGCCTCGGCCACCACCAGGGAAGCCTCCCACAAGGCCTGGAGTGGAAGCCAGGTAACCTTCTGTGTTCCTACTGTGTTAAGTGTGCAGCGTTCGCTCTGTGTCTGCTTGATTATGATACGTCAGTGGCTTCCTTTCTCTGTTGCCTGCTTCTGACGATCTGTTTCCTTCCCTGCCTTTCCCAAGCCTTTCCCAAGTGTAGAAGAAGGGGTCATACTGATCCAAGTTCATTCTTAGCACTCCCGCTTTCTAGCAGTATGACCCTTAGTGGTTTGGGGAGGATCGAATACGGTTGCATACATGTAGAGCTTTGTGCAGGGCTTCATTAGCATGCAACCAAGGTTACTTTTCTTCTAGTCCATGTTAACTAGATACTCAGTAATTTTCCAGCTTTTTCTAGTCAGAATCCCATTATAAGAGATGTCATTATGATGTCAAATTCTAGTGAAAAAGACTGTGACCATAATTTGATGAATGGGTCCTGGTCACAGTGCTGTTTATTTGATTATAATGAATTAAACAAACACAAAAACCCTACAGGCAGTTTCCCTAGGTCTGATGACACAGCCATACATAATAAAAGTATTACTTTAATACTTACTATATGGTATATACTTGTTTACTGAAGTATTCTCATGTATAGTTGACCATAGGGTGATTATATTTTAAAGAAGAGGGGAAACGATTGGGAGGTGTTAAACCAGTTAAGAGTGCTTTCCTTAGAGAGTCATTACTCATTCCACAGACTAGAAAGGTCTCAACCCTTGGAGAAGAATGAGAAAAAGGATGGCCTTTGAACAAAAACCAGGTGAAAATCAAAGTACATGAAGACCATAGCCTGTTCTAGATGGTACAACAATATGGATTATTGTTATGGATTCTGAAATGTGTTAAAGTGAGATTCTATCTGTATCATTACCCAGCAGAACTTGCTCCCCTTAGCTAAGTTTAGTTCTGAGTTGCCATAGGGTTTCAGGTCCAATGTAACCAAACATTGGATTTGAAGTGCCGGTGGGACTAGACTTCCACAGGAAGAATGGTGATGAGTGAACAGCAGTCATTTGAGACATTTTAGAAAGGTGATTCCATGAGCAGTAGCCACACATCCCCTCTTCCTTCTGCTTGCCCTTTGTATTTAATAAAGATGCTGCAATCTGTGGCTTGAGCTGCTTTGGACTACAGCAAACAGATCTGGATTATCACTTACTACTTAGCACTTCATGTGTCCCTTAAAGGTGGCACTTAGCAGCCAAGCCAAGCTGGTGGCGTTGTGTCAGATATTACAGAAATCACCAGCCTGGGCCTCATCTGGGAACTCAGAGGTCACTCAACTTTCCCACGTAGGTCCTGGCACAGAAGAATTCTTTTATTCCATTCTTTGTATTTTACTATAACATCTATGAGGGTAGGCTTAACCAGAATGAGTTTCATCATGTTAGAATAAGTAGATGGTGGGAAAGGAGGAGGAGAGAAAATTCAGAGAAAAAATCAGTAGCTGTTGCTGACCTATGATGGAGATGATGGCTATTTATGCCCCTGCATCCTGAGGGACTAATACAGCCTTGGAAGTTCTTTTCCCACTCCCTTCTTTAAGGAGGGGCATGTCAGGAGTTTGAAGTTTTGTTGGGTTTTTTTTTTTTTTTTTATTTGAGAGAGTGAGCGAGCATGAGCGGAGAAGGGCAGAGGGAGAGGGAGAAGCAGGCTCCCCACTGAGCACAGAACCCAACATAGGGCTTGACACGGGGCCCGATCCCAGGACCCAGGATTATGACCTGAGCCAAAGGCAGACGCTTAACCGACTGAGCCACCCAGGTGCCCCAGCAGTTTGAGGTTTAAATTCTTTAACTGAATGAATGTTAGGCTGAGACAGAAAGACATTTAGGGCAGAGAAGACACTGATACTCATATGGATATTCTCTAGATTTAGAATTCTAAGGCCCAAGCTCAGTTGCCAGTAAGACAGGGCAATCGGTCTCCAAACCCAGCTCTCTTGAATCTCAGACTATTGTCAGGGACAGAAACTGAGGCCCAGAGAAACCAGTGACTATGCTTTCCTTTTGCAAAGTGTTAAATGAAGTTGAAATATACTTCGATCTGTAGTTCCTGCTGTTGGTGAGTACACTTCATGTTGTGGGGTTTAATGTTTGCATATACACATGCCAAATTTCTGTCGTGGGAGCCTTAAACTAAATGGCTTACTCTGTCTCTCACTTACTAACATGCTAGAGACGTTTCATTAAGTTGATCCTAAAATTAGAAGAACAAACATGCCAGGGTGCCTGGCTGGCTCAGTCAGAAGAGTGTGCGACTCTTCATCTTGGGGTCATGAGTCTGAGCCCCATGTTGGGTATACAGATTACTTAAATAAAAACTTAAAAAAAGAAGAGGAAACATACCATAGGAGGAAAGGGACTAACAACACTTACGTCCTTCTGAATGGCAGTCAGCCAGCTAAATACTTTACTTGGGCCATTGTTCTTGGTTGCTCAGTAATCCTGGGAGGTAGATAACATTCCCATTAAAAGCTAGGAGCGGTTACATGCACTACTGGTGAGAATGTGATTTATGCAGCAACTATGGAAAACAGTATGGAATTCCCTCAAAAAATGAAAAATAGAACTACCATCCAATCCAGTAATTTCACTGCTGGGTATTTACCCAAAGAAAACAAAATACTAATTCGAAAAGATATGTGCACCCCTATGTTTACAGCAGCATTATTTACAGTAGCCAGGATATGGAAGCAACGTAAGTGTCCACTGATGGATGAATGGTAAAGATGTGGGGGAGGGGGGGATATACATGTAATAGAATATTGCTCAGCCATAAAAAAGAATGAAATCTTGCCATTTACAACATGGATAGATTTAGAGGGTATTATACGAAGTGAAATTAGAGAAAGACAAAACCCAAATACATATAAGTGAAATCATACGGTATTTTCACATTTACGTGTGAAATCTAAAAACACAAAATGAACAAGCAAGCAAACAGAAACAGACTCATAAATACAGAGAACAAACCGGTGGTTGCCAGAGGGGAGTGGAGTGGGAGGGATGGGCGAAAGAGGTGACGAGGGGGGCAGGGAGTAAGAGGTATGAACTTTAAGTTATAGAATAAGTAAGTCATAGGGATGGAAAGTACAGCAAAAAGAATAAGGTCAATGATATTGTAATAACTTTGTACAGTGACAGATAGTAACAAAATTTATCATGGTGAACATGTGTAATGTATAGAATTGTGGAATCGCTGTGCTGTATACCTGAAATGAATGTAACATTGTATGTCAACTATACTTCACTCAAAAAAAAGGTGGGGGGGAGGTTAAGTAATTTGTCCAGGCTCTTACAACTGGTGTGTGAAAGAGTAACTCTGTTTCCAGTGTTCACTGACTTGACTCACACTATATACGTTATCATTAGGACGCTGTGACTTTCCGGACACACTTGAATTAAAATGAAAAGAATTCTTCTCTGTTCTTTTAAAGGCTCCGCAGATATAAAGTCCTAGGGAGTAGCAATTCCGACTCAGACCTTTTCTCCCGCCTGGCCCAAATTCTTCAAAATGGATCTCAGAAGCCCCGGAGCACTACTCAGTGCAAGAGTCCAGGATCCCCTCACAATCCAAAAACGCCACCCAAGAGTCCAGTTGTCCCCCGCAGGAGTCCCAGTGCCTCTCCTCGAAGCTCTTCCTTGCCTCGCACGTCCAGCTCCTCACCATCCAGGGCTGGACGGCCCCACCATGACCAGAGGAGTTCATCCCCGCATCTGGGGAGAAGCAAGTCACCTCCCAGCCACTCAGGATCTTCCTCCTCCAGGAGGTCCTGCCAACAGGAGCATTGCAAACCCAGCAAGAATGGCCTGAAAGGATCCAGCAGCCTCCACCACCACTCGGCCGGCACCAAAGCCCCCCCAGGGAAGAGTAAGTCAGCTACTAAACTCAGCAGATAGGAGCTGGGCTGCATCTCTGTGAAAGGTGTGAGATCTTCCTCCTAAACCTGATGCATGTGTGGCCCTGTACTGTCTCTAAAAAATCAGTGTTGATCTTCTCTTGCAAAAGAAAGTAACATGATAAATTATTTATAAGAAGACATAAATATATGATAAGGAATTACCTAAGGCAGGCAGCAAGCAGGTCAGGGATCAATGCCTTTGCATAGGAAGGGGCAATCCAGCAAAATCCATGGGGGAGATTAAATGAACTCTCATTTTTCAGCTGCCTTTGAAACAAAAGAGTTGACGGTAGGAAATGGAATGGAATTTTAAGGGGTTTGGCCTGTTTTTTTAAGGCATTGTTAAAGATTATATAGCAAAAGTGAAATTTCTTGTTTTAATATTTTCATTCAAAACTTCCCAACCTTAGAGAGTCAGAATTGCTCCGATAGGAGGATATGTAACCAGTCTGTTGCTGGGGAGCCAGTGCTCATATCCCCGAGGCTTGTGTGTGTTTACTGGTGTATTGAGAGTTCACACCTTTACTTTGCCTCACTCCTACTACCCTTCCTGGATTTCAGTTTTTAAAGTTATCCCCCAGATGCAATCTCCCTTATTTTAACAATGCATTCTAATATGCTTTTAGCAGCACATGCTGAGAATTTCAAGTCCAGTTGTGTTTTTAGTCCCCTAATATTTTTCTGTGGACCAGAAAAAAGTAAGTTAACAGTTCTTAACTCGGTATATTTTTATTGTGAAAAAGAGCTACTGAAACTTAGGTAAAGGAAGGAGAAGTGGAAACAGAGCTTACTGCACAGGCATTAGAGCTTTGGGGACAGAGGGACAGGGTGGGGTGAATACCCTTCAAGACAAAAGAAACCTCTCCCCCTCTGTTTCCTCCTTGTGGAAGGAAGACCGACCAGAGTAGACCTTGCTTTCTTAGGTCTTCTCTCCAGTCATCCTGACTGTTTGCAATATCAACCTCCAAGATGATACCAGGGAAGTATAATGCTGTGCAATGTGACTTTATGCTCTTAGAGATTTAGAAAGAAAAACAGAAATCAGGTACGTTGTTGAGGCTTATAATCCTCAAACTTTGTATTTTATATACATTTAGCCAATAAGGAATGAGTATTTGGGGAAATAAATTTAGGCTCAATATTTATCTTTTAATGTTTTATTACCTGCTTCTCCTGTGCTTTAGTTTGAATATTTGGGCTTTTGGACCTGATTTCCTTGTAACCTCAATTTATAAAGCTGCGAGGAGGAGCATATTTGTTCTAATTTCACTCTTCTGCTAACAGGAATCCGGCAAAAGTAAATTATGCTAGATTTTTCAAATGGGCTCTTTTCTACTCTGTAGGTGTTTTGTGTTGTAAAGACCTGATTGAGGTCAGGTAAATTGGTCTGCTTGCTGTTGAAATTCGCCTTCTAGCAAACATCTGTGCTTTCTCTTTGACCTTGTGTTTGCTGCCAAATCTAATATGGTTGAATTGGAAAACAGGAAAAAAAACAAACAAACAAAACAAAACAAAAAGTATATTTCCTCACCAAGCAAATACATTCTAATGCTGCCTCAAAGCTGCCCTGAAGCTGCACTGAACTTCTCTTGTTCTCTTTATCTGTGTTGAGCTTTTTAAAAAAAAAAAAAAAAAAAAGAACAAACCGAAACTCCAAACACCTATCAAGTCCTATACGATCTCCTGTAAGAAATGTAGCATAGTGTGGAATCTTAATTTCTCTCCGGTTTCAAGCACTACAGAGGAATGCAATAGATAAGACATATTTGCTGTTTAACTAAAGCAACTGTAATATTGGAAGACCAGTCCTTCTGTATGATATTTGTATAATAGTTGCTATAACACTACTTGCATGTCTTCATGGTAAATGATATAAATATTTATAAATATATAGAGAAACATATGCTTATATAAACTCATTCTTTCTCATTCTCCATTTGTAATTTCAAGATCACAGATGGTGAAATTCCTTTTTATTGTGTGCCTCGCATACACTTGGGCCTTGCCTGTCTTCATTTTCTGAAAATATGTTCTTGGCATGGGACACTTCAGATTCTTCTTGCCTTCTTTGTGTATAATGCAAGGGTTGGCAGCCTTCAAGCCAAGATAGGTTATTTAATTTTCACTTTTAAAAGATGTTAATAGGAGAAAAAATTACCGGGTCAGGCTTGTGATACTGGCTCAAAAATTTGTCACATTAATCACATAATTCTGTCCTTATGGTTAAAGGGGATAAGCTGGGATGATAATCATGGGTCTGATATAAATTGATTTAAAGAAAAAAATCTCTTAAAAATTGCCATTTTACATTCCTCTTTTCACCTCACTATTTTTTGGATGGTGAGGGAGTAATCTACAATTAAGGAATTAACTTCTTTTTTCCCTTGTATTAGCTAAATTGTGCTAAAAGTAGCTTTAAATCCTGACCCCTGTCGTCAGAAATGCGCCCTTCATAACCACTGGAAAAGCGAATGAGGTTATAGTTGTGGTGTGTGTGGTTATTTCTTTTTTTTTTTTTTTTTAAAGATTTTATTTATTTATTTGACAGAGACACAGCGAGAGAGGGAACACAAGCAGGGGGAGTGGGAGAGGGAGAAGCAGGCTTCCCGCGGAGCAGGGAGCCCGATGCGGGGCTCGATCCCAGGACCCTGGGATCATGACCTGAGCCGAAGGCAGACGCCCAACGGCTGGGCCACCCAGGCGCCCCGTGTGTGTTATTTCTTATTGGTATTTCTTTTCTAGCAGTCAAAACAGACAGTGATGGCAACATGGCAATTGGGTGTTTTCTCTCTCTTGGTTTCTTCTGTTTTTCTCCCAACTCTTCCACTGTGTTGCCCCCTTTTCTAGATGGCACCTACGAACTCCATATCCAGAGAGAAATAGCCTCGGTGTATAAGAATACTTTATTTTGCATGTAGAGGAAAGAGTTAACCAAAGATGTTTCAGCTCTGATACTTTCAAAAGAAAACAGACTAGTTATATCATATGTATCAATAGGTCTACTTAAAAGTACTATCATATAGAGATTTACTTATGGTTTTTAAAAGCATAGTTTGTGCTTTTAGATGTTCAGTGTCTTAGGCTAAAAAGAGAGAAGTTGGCAGCCCTGAGCAAAACATTTTTGGCACAAGAATTTTTTATTATGTTTTATTTTAAGGTATGATACAGAGAATGAGTTGTTTGTTGCTTTAGTTCCTTTTTTTTTTTTAATTTATTTTGGGTTTTTTTAGTGATGGCATATTTCAGATTTCAGTGACAAACATAGATCATCCAAGTAATTTTAAACCACTTTGGTTATTTTACCTAAGATGAGGGACACGGCCATTAATTAAAGTCAAGCCAAACTATACTAAAAGTAGTATGGGGCAAAAGTCAAAACTATCTTTTGAAAATCAAGTGCCTCCTGGTTTCTCCTCTCAAGGCACAATGGCAACCCTAGTCATACTTGCCTTTACCCTGCCATGTCTAGTCTCTGGAGTTACTTGGGTGGAGCAGAAAATGGATTCGCACCAGCTCAGTCCCTGTAGACAGCATTCTTCTTACATTATGCCGCCAAATCTCCAGGGTATACAGATGGGTTGAAATATTAGTATTTCACCTGGTCATCTTTTGCACAGCATCAAGGCATTTAACTTTAATGTAGAGCGAACAAAGGAAAATTGGATCATATCAAATGTAACCTTAAAGCACAGACTGTAAACATCTTTGAATGGTAAGTCTCAGGCGAGCGCTGTCATTCCCACCTCGGTGTGCAAGCTGGTCTTGCATTTCTTAAGTTGCATGGTGCGAAGTGAATGTTTTTTTGTAACAGTTACCAAGTCAGTCCAGTCCTAGATAAGTAGCAACATGATAATTGATACCCACTGTTGTCATTATCCACTTTGTATTATTTGCTTTAAAATACTAAACAAATCCCGGCTGCTTACTGATTCAGTGGACTACTCGTGCAGTATCTCTATTCAGCTCCTAGCCACTAGGGGAACTTGAGGCTCTTTGATAATCATCATAGATTCCTTCCAGGCCACAGATTTTTATGCAGATGTTTCTATGGTTGCATTCAGTCTACAAGGAAAAAGTGTACATTGGTGCATGTTTTATAAACCAACACACCGATAGTTAAAACTATAATTAGTTTTCCTGTACCCGATAGCTTTGAATTAAAAACAGATGCTTCTTCCCTAGAGGATTCTTTGTTCTAGGAACTACATTCTTAATCTAACATTAGAAATTGGCAATAGGAGAAACAGGATCCAGAATTCAGAGTTAGGCTTAGGGGAAAAAATGCATCTTAGTCTGGCTATTTGGAAATATATTAATTTGTAGATAAGTCTAGATTTAGTCTTGGAGATCAAAGTTTTCACATTTTAAAACTTTGTTCATTTCTTTGTATCTATCAAAACATGGCGTATGTTAGAGAATCACTTCTTCTGTCATGTTCATGTATTTTGGAATTAAGTTGTTTGCATTCACTTTTTTATATTCTGCCCACTTCTGTTTATGTGCATTTACCACAGATGTGCTGGGACTTTGCCTAAAGGGGGACATATTTTGGCACCTGTATCACTGAGGAGAGCTAGAATGGTTGATGACAGCGGACTTACTCAACTTGCTTGAGTTTGGGTCTGTACAGTTTATTTGCGGAAGAGTTACTTATCTAGGTTTTCACACAAAAAGTATTACAGGATTAAGGTATGTAACCACTATGGTAGTCCCCACAGGTCAATAGTCACCCGAGTCCTGAATCCAGAGGTGTCGATTTAGAACTTAGAGAAGGGAACGTGCAGCAGCTGCAGCTCCTCAGACCACACGGGAGGACGTGGTGCATGGAAACCCCCAGGTGGTGGTTCGGACACCCCACTCCCCTGCTGTCATCTAGGAGAGCTCTGGGGTACACTGGGAGGATGGGGGAGGAGTGTGGAAACATCTGTCATTGGATTTTCTCAATAGCTGGGCTGCCCCTTTGGAATTAGGGGAATGTTAACCCAGATAGTCTTGGGAGCCTACAGAATCTGTTGTCGACAGTGCAAGGGAGATGTGCAGGAGGTGTTTGGGGAAGTCCTGTAGTTCTTAGGTAACTCCAGGACATGGAACTAGGGTCCCTATGAATTTAAAGGGGAATCTGGATGCTGCACACCTCAGTCCCTGAGAAATCCTTGGCTGGACATGAAATGATGACAGAGTCTTGGCCCATCAGTACATTGTCTAATTGAGTTGTGATAATCTGCTCTGACTTTCAAAATGTAAGCTGGATGTTTAATTATTCCCCTTGAGCAAATCTGGATCAGAAAATGAAAGTATGGGACAAGATCAAGATCACTTTGTGGTTATACCACGATCTCAAAAAACTGAATAACCAGCAAGTAATGATTTAGTCATGTAATGATTTGCATATTTCCTTACACTTTGCTGGATCTTTGGTCTGAGGAGACATGTAAAGAAGGTGAAGCCTTTTCCTTCAGGATCTTGTGGAACTTGAACAGAGCCTGCCTGTTAAATTGGAAGTGACAGTGTGGGCATAGTACGTGTCACCAGTGATGCTGCTGTGTGTCTTCGGTACCCCTGGGCCAGTGGTTCTGGGTTCCTCGACCTAGAGAATAGGATTCCATGAGGCAGATCTTTGAGCCCGTGACATAATTTTACACACTAATGATAGGAATTTTACCTCTCTCTTCAGTTAGTTTAATACTGTTTCATATTGTGTACAGAAGTGTTCACTCACCCAGCTAAAAACATTGAGTAAACCCTAGTTTTTAATATACACTATCCTTGCCATATGACTCTTTCTCCTCACCTTAGAGTACACAGTGTAAAATCCTTAACAAATGCATTCACAGCATTTCCCCATATTTGGAATCTGGGCTTTGTTCTTCATTCACCCACGATAAAAAAAGTGACCAGGGCTTGAATGTGATTTATCTTAGGGAGCAACCCCGGGAGGGGAAAGCCCTTAGGACTTTTCAAAACTATTTTCTTTTTAAATGATTCACAAGATAGATAAATTAGTTCACTAAGGTAAAAAGCATTCAGAAATACAGTTAAGAAGATGAAAGAAACACAACACTCTGCCACTTGGGGCTCCGAAATTGGACTGAGTGAATTGAACAAAGAAGAGAACTGATCAGATGACCCATGCTTGAGCCCACACACTCCCTCCTGCACAGTTTCCGTCCCCCTCCTGACTCCCATTCCTAAAATTGCCAGCGCTGATTTCACTGGGTCATTTACTTACCGATTTGCAGCTTTTAGGAAAAAAGAGGGGGAGACATCTAGTTTTGACTTAGATACAATTCTTGAAAGTTATGAACTACTGGCAGCTGTTACAACAGATTGAACCACAAACCAGAAGAAGTCTCTTGTTGAGCAAAACCAGTAAGTTAGGATAGAAGACTAGTAATCCCACAGTTTTTCTCCCTTTCTCCTCCTCTTCATGAAACCAGAGTGATACGAAGTTGCTCTTTGAAATACCTCCAAAGGTATTGTATTGTCGTTTTCCCTCCAAGCAGCCCTCTTTATGCATTTTTGCTCAGGCAACCAAGGACATAAGAGTATTGGCAGAAACATGGAGTGCTTTTGTATAGGCCATCTGTACATAAAAGTGTAATTATTTATTTAATTTTCCCATTTGTATCATATTAAAG